ATGCACACTGAAGACATTAGATATCTTCATAACTCTACACATGTTAGTGTTAGACTTCTTCAAAAACTTACTCACCATTAATACATACTTATATGTAATTACAATTATTTTTATATTCATTTGTCAAATATTTATATAAATCAATTATACTTTTTATTATTTATCTGTAATACAAATTACTATCGATTTATATCTATAATAGCCTTAAAACACAACACATTAACTTAGGTATTCACAAAAAAAAAAAAACAAAATTGTCACAAATTTTTTTTTATAGAAATTAAAAATAATATAATTAGTTTTATATCACAAAATTTATAAAAACAAAAAAAAATGTTTATTTATTTAGCAAAGAATGAAATAAAAAGTTTTTATATTTCAGATTAATCTAATTAACTGTCATTCAAATAAATTAAAGTGATTTTTATTTACAAAACTGAGAGAAAAAAAAACCTAGCAAAATATACTCTATATATACGTGTACATACATGAGAATTAACCTATAACTTTTTATATAATAATGAAAATCAAAATTTATCACTTAATTTAACCATTTAATATAAGTTAACCTTCATAAATATTATTTTTCTATACATATACGAATTTTATTTAATATGAATTCGTATATATATTATTATAATGAAGCATACATATGTATTGATTTTATTTAGTATAACACATTAATTTACATATCATGTTATTTGATGAATATTCTAGATTGTTATACAGTCAAAATTTAATGGGCTGTGTAATTAAGGAGTAATATAGAGAGAAAATGTGCACACAAAACTAAAACAATGTAAAATTGAAAATATCATTAACATCGATTTTGTTTTGCATAAAATAATAAAAAAACTAGAATGTAAAATGGAAAAATTTAAATTAAAATTAAATTATTTTAAATTTTTGAGAGTATATAATAAACGCAATGCTATATTATTTGTATTATCCGATCAAAATTTGTTGCTGAAAATTTGCTGAAAATTTGCTGAGACTTTGGGATGCATCAAAAAATAACACTAAAAGAGTGAAAAATTAATGTTTTCTTAAGATTAACACGTTCGCGGACGCTAAAAATTTTAGGGAGCTGCAAAAATATACAGTCAATTATTTTTGAAACTGGTTGTAATATTTGAAATCTGATTAGACATGTATTATAAGAAATAATCAGAACATTGTATTTTAGACATTATATACAATGAATGTTATAGCATCCACTACGATATAGATAATATTTTTCAACTAGAGTGACATGAATTAAATGAATAAATTTAAAATTTGAATGCTATAGCATTCACGTTATTTTGCATCACTATGAAAATGAATGTTATAACATTCGCGTCCGCGAACGTGTTAAATTCCAAAATTGCTAATCTGAATATAAAGAGGTTTAAAGTACTTCATTTATAATTGTATATATAACTGTATATGTATAATATTGTACCACGAATTCTCCAATTTCTGAGTACCTAAAATATAACATTTTAAAGATTTTATTAAGAATTCGGATAAATAAATTGTATCTTCTAAAAATTTTGGGGATTTTTGTAAAATATTTTTATTATTAGTCTAATATAAGTATTATATTATTAATATAACATTATTGACATTGATAAACTGTAAATTTGAACCTAAAATGAAATTTTTTATTGACAAACTATAATTCATTAAACACACAAGCTGGTAAATTTTGTATACTCCAATGAACCACATTAAAAATATTAAGAGAAAGACTTTTCACAAATAATTCTTTAAAAATAATATTGAGGAAATTAACAAAAGAACAAAAAGGTTTTATATATTTATTTATAATAACGTTCTATGGCCTATTACAAGGACCAAAATAAAAATATCAAAAATAAATTATTGTATAAAAATAAATTTAACAATACCCTTATGAAATATTGGAAAAAAAGAAAAAAAATTAAAATATTAATGATTTCTTAATATTTTTTTTCCCTTCTACTTTCCTCTATTGTCAAGAATATCAAAAAATTCTATCTAAAATTTTTAAAGTTTATTTTTAAAATTAACCCATTTCACTCTTTTGTTTTACTTGTGTACAATATTTTCAACATAAAAAATAAATATTGAAAATTTCAAAGAAAATATGGAAAAAAACATTTAAAATTTTCTTCATTTTTTATATACAAATTTCTTTCGTACACATATACAAAATTTTCATACTCACAAATACATAAAATTAATAAAATATGTATAATGACCTAGAAGGAGGAAAAGAATACATACTTTAAAGGGAAACAAAAAACTGTGTATCTGACAAAAACAATTCATTCCACTTGTCCTTGAAAAATAAAAGAAGAAAAAAGAAAATTTTTTTTTTTGCCTTTTCTTTCGTTATTTTCTTATACGAGTATACATACATAATAAAATACGCATTTATATACATATGTGTATGATGTAGATCCACTGGAAAAAATATAAAAATAATTTTTATTTTGCTATCTATGCGTTCATCTTTTTTAAAGAGAGCATATGATTTTATTATGGAAATTGAAAAATAACATCATTAACATTAAATTATTAATTAAAAAAAAAGCATTATTGTAGATAAGTTCAGAAATTAGCTTGCTAAGTTAGTTTCTTATATGTTGTTGTAATGATTAAGTATTCTTAAAACAAAGAGACAGTAAATGACATTTAATGTTACGAAAAATTATAAATGCTTTAGTCAGAAAATTTAACGCATACTCGTTTTCTTCTTAAAAACTATTGTGTAGATCAGAAGAAATAAATTTTATTGAAATTTCGGTAAAATATTTATTTCTTAAAATAAAAAATCTAGAATAGCGAATCAAATATCTTTTTTCATAATTTTGATACAAATATCATCTTCCGAATTCTTTAAATTAAACTTCGGTTTTAGAAAATACTTTGCGTAAATTAACAATATTATTCGGTTCATATTCATTTACAGTAAAAGCATATTATAAGTAACTATCTATATGCACACACACGTTCAACTCTTAATGTTTAGACCAAAAACAAAGACGTATTTTAATTTTATAGTGGAAAATGGTCTTGGAATCTCTAAAATTTTTATATTTCACATTATTTTTAAATAAAAATAACTTTTAATTTGCGACCTTTAGTCAATTTTTACAAAACTTTTGCACGTCATTCATTCGAAATTTTAAACTTTTCTGATTTTTTATAAAAGCAAAGAGCTGGACGTAATTAGACACTAAGTACGCATAATGTAAGAAATAAAATTTTTCATAGAAATGTGCTACTTTACATACCACTTATTTGATTCAAATTTATTTGCTTTGCAAATTGTTTGACCATTCTGTTCCATTTTTTTGACAATTTTATGTTGTTGTAGATTTACGTAGATATACGAAATTTTTATTTAAAAATTATACATATAAGTATATATAATACACATATTTAAAATATAGTATTTTATATTATTTTGTTAGTTATCAAATCCATCAATTTGATAAATGCATACAAATATATGATAATCTAATATTATTGGGCGCATCCAACTCGCTACAACTCTAAAGCAACACAAAACAGATTTCAATAATTTACATACTTAGTATTTATCTATACATAGCATAATTTAAATTTCTTTATCTACTTAATTTCAGATCAATTTTTTCTAATAAAATTAGGCTGTTATAAGAAATCTTATTAACGAGGAAAAAAGGTTACTATTGAATTTATTCCAAATCACAGAACAATATAAGTATATTTTGGAATTGTTTAATAACTAAACCCATTTTCATATAGATTGTATACCTATTGAATAATGGATATATAGAAAAGATTTATTTTGAAAATGCCAAAAGGAAAAACTATAATGTAATACAAGAAAATTTCACGAATTTCTTTTAAATCATTTTTCATAATCAACAACATGAAATTTAAGCTTTAACACTACCCTAAACTTACTATGTTAACTCCAACCTTTTTGTTTTGTTTTTTTGTTGATTTTTTTTCCCAACCAAATTTTCTAACCAAAATTTTCACTTCTACTTATGTACACGAAAGTTAGGCATATACACAAAAACAAACTCTCTTAAAATTATATATATATACATATATATGCACATATATATGTATTAAAATATTATATTTATCTTTCTATATAGATAAAATATAGATAAGATATGGAAATATATATATGTACATACATACATGTATCTTTATTTATATACCTAAAAAGGATATTTTTCAACAATAAATTTTGATTTATACCCGTTACGGTCTCTAAAACTTGATTTTCTATATTACTCGTATATATGTTTGTAAAAATGTAGGAATATTTTGTAAAGTTTTGTGCTTTCTCTATATAAATTTTATAAACAGAATTACTTAAGTCAAAATTTATAGTTTTGAGAAAATCAAGACAATAATTATTAACAACTTGCATAACATTTAGAATACTTAATTTGCTTTATAAAGCTTGCAGAGTATATTTGTTTAATATTTCGGGAAATCTATTACCCAATTTCCGAAAATCATAGTATTGTACATATTTGTACCGTTCTCTTAAAAACAGAAATTAAAGTTGCCAAATTTTCGAAGGGTAGCTTTCTTTGAAATTATATTAGACAATATATTTGAATAAACAGCGAATTTCCAATTATTGTAATATCTCCATTTTATATACTAATTCGAGTTATGCAATTTTTATTTATTTTCTCTCAGATATTCTTATACGAGTATTATAAAATAGAGTTGTACAAAATACTGTAACATACTTTTGTATGTATACATATTACTATATTAGTGTAAGTTATGTTTTGTAAATAAATACAATTATGTGAAAATTTATTCTTAATAAGATCTTAGATCCATCTGTTTTATTTCAATAGAGAATTTTATAAAATAATTTATTTTTATATCATTTTATGTTTATCATTACTAATGTATATATATGTATATTTCAAGAATTATATACATATATCATACAATTTAATTTAGCGCTAACAAAATATATTTTTTATTTTCTTCCATTTAATATTTACCTTGTTGAATACATTCAAAGCACCTTGAAAAGTCCTGTGAAAGAAAAAAAAAAATAAAAGATTTTTATAAATAAGAAATAATTATTTTTTTAATAAATAATTTTTTTAATTTTTTTTTTTATTTTATAAATAATACATAGATAATATAAGAAATGAAAATGTTAATTTAAATATGAATTGAATATGTAATTAAAAGAATATTGTTTTGTTTCAATGAAATTTATTATTAAACATTAAAAGCATAAATAAAGAGAACGGAATAAATGGGACAAGAAATATTTACTCCTATAAATATGCAAAATTATATAATGAAAATATTAAATTAATTTTTATTTTTTCTAATTTTTACAATACTTTATTCAAGGTAAACTTTTATTTTTAATTTTCGTAAGACTGATGGAAGCTTGTAACCCTATTTATATATAGGTATAATCTTTTAAATTTAAAAGACATTGAATGTATAAGATTTTCATATTTTGCTAAAATTTTATGAAGAACGACTTCTGCTCAATATCGAAAGAAATCGAAATAAAACTTTATGACATACAAAACTCTGTAAGAGAATTTTGAAGAATCGAATTCATTAACGAAAGTATATATGATTGAATAAAATGGATTCTTAAAATTAACAGGAAATTTTGTATAAATTGAGTACTACAGAATTTAACACATTTGTATAAATTATGTGATAGAGAAGTTAGAATTTGTTTTTATACATTTTTCATTATATAGGAACTACAAATTTGAAGATGAGTGAAATTGCGAAAATTATAGACTTTATATCTGATTCCATAAAATGCTATATAATAGTTACAAGAATTTATGAAAAATTTTTTAATTGAGTACTATTACAGTTTTAGGAGCTAAGAACTTGAATACTCGTAATTATATAGTTTTCAAATTCTGCAAATTAAAAATTAAAAGAGCATCTACATAAAAAGAAAAAAATATTTTTAATAACAAACATTATTTACGTTATTCCCATCATAAAAAATAAATACAAAAAATTAAAATTTGCTAGCATTTTTTATCGTAATTTTTTCAGAAAATCATTGAGAAAATTTAAATTCAAATGAAAAAACAAATTTTTACCACTATTCCTGCGTGTACATGCTTATACATACATTATGTATAAAATATTATATATAGCATATACATATATATAAATAATTAATTTGAATTTTATTTTGAAATAATTAAAAAAAAATACTAATAAAAATAATATTGAAATTATTTTCTATACTCATTTAAATTTATAATGAGACTGAATTCATTTTAAAAATAAAAAAAAAAAATTATTTATTTATTTAAAAAATGCACCTAAATACATTGTGTACGTTGTACGTAATATATAAGAGATATATACACGTACGTACATATATGAGAGATCAAGGTCAGAAGAAAAATTCTTATTTCATGAAAAATAATTATAATATAATTTTTGTACATAGTTCGTATGTGTATAGTACACATTTTATATAAGCAAAATTTTAATAAGAATTCATTCTCCGTGTATAAATTATTATAAATCAAAGAATTTTAATTAAAAATCAACAAAAAAAAAAACATTTCTTATTTTGACACATGACATTAAAATAATACCATATTCAATATGTGTATATGTACATATAACAACATACATAAATATAGTTTTCTATACAATAATACACTCGTGTATTCTATATAATTTTTTGAAAAAAAAAAAACAACTTATATGGCATATATCACGCCAAAATCATAAAAAAATCTCTACTATTGTGACATACTTACGCCTGTATATGTATGTATATTATGCATATAATAAATAAAAGTTTTTGGGGAAAAAAGGTCAGGGGTCTAAAAAATCTTCTTATATCTTCCTTCCCAAATGAATTTTGCACTTGAATTTCTTTTTTTTTTTTTTGTTTCATAAAAACAAAACATTAAATTTTTCATTAACAAACAAAAAAAATAAGAAAATCGCGAGGGATTCCATTAAAATAAAAATATTTTTGTCTTTTATTTTATTATTCATAAAGAAACACATGGGAATAATAATTTACACCTTGTATCAACCAAACCTTCAATTAGTCTATGATTTTTTCATTATTTTTTTTTTCTTTTTTTTTTTTTTTGAATTTATAATGAAAATTTTACTTAATTTCAACACGCTAATTTCAGTATTCTTTCTTTCTTTTTGGAATATTTCGTGAGATTTTTCTTTTTTGCCTTTCTTTAAATGGCTGAACTTTAATAGCTGAATAAGTTTTATTTGTAATTTACAATTATATAGAGTCACAAATAAAAGCTTTATAAGAGAGGTACTCATTATTGCAACAATAACATAGAGTATAGGTTAGATAAGAACAACAATTATTTTGTTGTCTATACCGAAAATTCTTAAGTTCATACAATGTTAATGTACATACAAGTATGTATTTAATGTTAATATAATTGAAATATTTCAATATAATATGTATGTATGAATGTAGTACATATGTATAAAACTTTTTCTCAATAAGTACTCAAATATTTTACTCTTATGAGCATGCAAATAAATTTTCTTATAAATATTTGAACTATTCAACTATTAATTTTAATTTTGGTATGCTTGAGTAGATTTGTACGTGAACAAAAAAAAATTTCCCATAAAAACCGGTTATTTTTACTTTATAAGTAATTTCTAAAAATTTAATTTCTCTTAATTTTCTTTTGTTTTGTCCAAAATTTCTTGTGCTCGTACTATAGGAATCTTTTTATTTTTATTGATTTGCAACATATTGATACTGCAATTGCAGGGTACATACAATTATGTTTGTGCTCCAAAAGAAGATCAAATTCAATAGTTAAGAAACAAATGGATTTTAACAAAACTCAAATACCTTCTAATTGGAAAATCATTTTTTAAAAGTGGAAAACTTAAAACATTAATTTTGAACTATCACTTGAGAAGACCCTAATATCTTATTTGATAGTTTTCTATCTTATATTTGATAGACTTTAAAACCAATTTTTAGGACATCATCAAGGACTTTTGATTAGAAGGAAAGTAGCCGCTGCAGGAATATAATTTAAATCATTTTTTACACAGGGTGATTGTGAAAGTTATACAACACCATAATACCATTGGTTAGAAGATCGAAAACGGGTAAAACTTTTGTTACGGACTGGGTGTCAAATCTCAAAGGTTTCCGAGTTCCAGGGATTTTAAAGAATTTTCACGAAATTTTTACTTATCCAGGTTTTTTTTTATTATAAATTCGGTGCTGCAAAAGATAGGAACTTCAAACAAACAGTTTCAGAGAGGCTTAGAAAATAGAATGCAATAAATAGAAATGGTGCTTATGTGCCTTCGGAATACCAAGCATTCGAACTTTAAAGAAAATAAAATTTTTCCCTTGATTTTTCAGTTTTTTCTAGTTAGATAATTTTGTAAGAAATTTTTTTAAAACCTTGAAATTTTTTTTATAGAATTTTTCCCAGCTGTTTAAACTTTCATTTAAGTCCTCAAACAAAAAAAAAATTTTATGTTACAAAAGATACAATACAAAAACCACAAATATTGTGAGCCACAAATTCAATTAAAATCAAACTAGATCTTGATAAAACCAAAATTAAATTCAATTTAATCTTTCTTTATCAAAAAATTTTAAAAATTCGAATTAATAATTCAAATAATTTTACAAATTTCTCAAAACGAACACTAAATTCTCCTATGAAATTCGGCAAAAATTTATGTTTTTCTTCTTTCAAATCTATTTCTATTCAATTGCATATTTTAAATCAATTGTTTTACTGAAACACCTCAACCATTATTTAGTTGCATCAACCGTACACCAATTTTAGTTTTTCTATAAAATTTGTTTTAAATTTATTAATTCCATTAAATTATTCATTAATTATTAATTTGTTTAATAATGTTAATACCATATCATTTACATACTCCATTTTGTTAAAAAAAAATTAAATTTTCCTATTAAAAAAAATTTTTTTTCAATTAAAATAAAAATGACAAAATTTGTATGGAATACCTTTAAAAATTCGCTCCACCTGGTTGATTTCAATAACTTCAGATGCCAAATGGTGTCTAGATTTCGAAAATATTTTTTTCAAATTTTTAAATTGCACCCAATTTGAGAAAAATGCATTTAAAAATTTGAAACCATATAGGTACCATTTCTTACAAAAATTGGCAAAAATAAAAAACCTATCAATTTTCTTTACCAAGAAAAGTTTCGAAAAAAATTTTTTGATTACTAGATTTTTTTTTGTTTTTCGTAATACAAAATTCTAATTTTTCTTTTTTCAAAAATTTAAAATTTTTTAAATTCAATTTTTGTTTTTCAATTAAAAAGTTTGTATAAAATTTCGTTTCAATTTTGTTATTATTTGTAAAATTTCAATAAGGACATTAAAATTCAGATTTTTTATCAAAATAACGGCTCATAAAAGTGTCAACTGTTTTTTTGAGTGACTATCGTCACCAAAAATTAATGATAGTTGATAATTACAACGCTTAAAATCCTATTCTTTAAGGGTCCTTAAAATCTTGACATAGAAATGTGCTACATCATTTCACCATAAAGTGAAAATTCGTTAAAATTCCTAGAACTCGGAAACCCTTGAGATTTGTCACCCAGTCTGGAACAAAAGTTACGATCTTCTAACCAATCTTCTAACCATTTTCGATCTTCTAACCAATGGTTCTATTACTGATTGGGTTGCCGATTTCACTTTTTAATATATAAGAATTTTAAGAATATAGATTTAAAACTGCAAAAGACTGTAAATTCCAGTTTCTTCTATTTAAAACAAGGAACTAAAAAATATTACAAATGTTCAAAGAATTTTTTTTTTAAATTGATTACACCAAAATATAGAACTATAATGTTCATTTGAATTGATAATCATCTAAGAAATTTTCCATCATATATATATGCGATACATAAGAAGCATATAATATATACGACCGTAAAAAAATAAGGTATAATTTCAAAAGATCTACTTAAGAAACACTTTTATTTCAATTTACAACAAACGAAAAATAACAAACGT